TGGGAGGCAGCGCCGGCCCGGCCCGGCCCTTCCTGTGCCGGCGAGGGGGCACCGCCCGGGCCGGGGGAGGCAGAGCCGGAGAGGTGGGAGGGAGCGCAGCGGGCGACGGGGTGTGGAGCGGAGGGAGGAGGAGTCGGGAGGGTGTCAGTGGTGCAGGTGTTTCAGAATCAGCTGTCACCCGATTTGGAAAGAGAGAAAGGAGCTTAGAGTCTTCCGGTGATCTCGGTAATGTGTTCGTGCTATAAAAAGCGTAGCTGTAAAATGTTAAATAGAGCAATATTCACGTAGGGTTGGGTTCTGATGGAATCTGCCTATTAATTTGGTTGTTCCCTTTCCCTCCCATATCCTTCCTTTGCATCTCCTTTGCCAGCCAAGCAACGCGCGAAAATGGACGACATTGTGGTGGTAGCCCCAGGAACACAATCCTCACGGAACGTCAGCAATGATCCAGATGTCATAAAACTGCAGGAAATTCCAACTTTCCAGCCCCTTTTGAAAGGTAGGTGATTGTTCTTCCTCTGTTTTTAAAAGCCATCTTTTTTTTTTGTACCTAATGGAATGTGTGCTTTGTGTATCCTGAGGTTCCTACTAAAGTTCATATTTCTGTCCCTATTTTTCACTATCCCTCTTGCTTTAAACCTTGCTTTCTTTTGTTCTGTCCCAACCTTCTAAACAGTGGATGAACTGGTTTAGAGATGTGCTAGTAATCTCTGCAGTGGAACCATCTACTGTGAAGACAGAAGAGTTCCAAGCATACCAGCTTGCCCTGTACCACTGGTTGATGGGATATGCTATATTACATTCTAATATATCATGGATCACAGTCTCCAGTTTTGCTCTAGTTTCTTAAAATCAGTTGTGTGTTACTCTCTCAGAGTCATAACTACCTGTGTATGCATTCAGTGGCTTGAAATCAAGATATCTTATGGGAGTTTCCAACATAGAGCAGATTTTGCTCTTGTTTTTTTGGGGTGGGATAGATGGACTGAGGCTTTTCTTTGTTTCTTTTCCTCACACTGGTTTTTTTGTACATCCTCTGCACTCATTGTGTGTTCTTTCTATTCTGTTCAAAGGGAAGTGAAGATTTCAATCAAAGCTGTCAAGCCTACACTTTAACAAAAACTGTTTGTGCATTTTGTGGCCTGGCTTCTAGCTGTGTGTTTTTGAGGAGTCTGCACAGTGTCATCAGTATCTGAAAGTCCCTTAGGAAGGGAGATGTCTGGAGCAGCCTGCACAAATTGATTTGGTAAAAGCAGCCTCCTCTTGGGTTCCTCTCCCTGGTGCAGTGTGGGTCGGCAAATTTGTGTGGGTGTACTGTGTGGTGGGCACTCAGTGAGCCCATGTTTTTTGGAAAATTCAAGGCCTGCTGCGTGTGCATCAGCACTTGCTCGTGCCTTGCAGGTCTGCTGTGACAGAGAGGACAGAGCTGGGATGTTTAGCCCTCCCTGCTGCTGGAAGAAATGATGTGGTGTTGTACAGCTGAGGGATTAGGTCACTGATTCATGCGTGGCTGCCGGGAAGTTACTGGAGGCACTTTGCCCTAAAGGCATCACTGGAGGTAACGTAGCATCACAACGTCACTTTTTGGCCAGAAACTTGTTACCTTTTTTTGTTTGTTTATGTCTACTACATGAGGACCCTGGAACATGACTAGAAATTGTGGACATTGTGATAGCCTCTCAGGCAAAGCATTTTGTTGGGTACTGATAGATAGGGTCTAGAAGTCTGCAGCACTGACTGCTGTTTTCAGCAGAAGAGGCAGAAAGGTAGGGAGAGCATTAAACAAAGCAGAGCATGTTTTGCCTGTAAAGCAAATGCTTTGTCCTGCTTTGTATGTAAGGCAGAACCGGGATCGTGCCAGCGACAGCTTGAAATGTAAATGCTGGAACCCAAATCCACAAAAGAAATGAGAAAGTTTTATTAGGAGGGACCAAATTTCAGAGATGCTACAATATCTGGCACAGAGGTAGTTGTGTCTGTGTAAGAGTGCGATGACAAAGAATTTCAGTTCCACCCAGCCTCAAACTGGTGAGCAAACCTGGGTTGCACAAGGCCTGTGGAAGGAAGTCCTGGGAAGTCCTGGGAAGTGGGACTAATGATCACTTCCAGAGGCAGTGTCCCTGTATGTGTGTCAGAGACACAAGGATACAGGACTTAGGGTGGGAGGTGAGAAAGAAGAGAGAGCAGCAGCCATGTGGCTGAGATGGAAAAGTTGGAAGGCACTGCCTTAGATGACCAGTCCAGGTCCTTCAGCTCCTAAACATGCATGTGTTAAGTTGTCTTGGTGACTGTGTTGCTTTCTCTGGTCTTACTTTGGACCTGAAGCTGTGGATATATAACAGAAATCTTCCTTTCTGTTTCTGTCACTTGGCCTGCTATTTCCCTAGAGTCTCCTGAGACATGATGATATCTGGTGACAGCTCAAGAGTTTTGCATGCTGAATCACTTTTGTGAATAGCTTTTTCAGCCTCAAATACTTGTTATTACTTGGACAACCAGACTGTGATGCTTGTGTTCAGTACAAAAAGCAGTGTGTGCCTGTTGAGTGAGTTGACTCTTGAGAGACTACAGATCTGCCACAGGCCCAGTTGAGAAGCTGTTCTGTTTTGGACTGGTCTCTTATCTGTATTCTTCACATGAAAGATTATTTTTCTGGAAAGGCCGAAGAAGTTTCAAGATTTTAGGAGCTAATTCTGAAAACTTGTGCCTTGTGATCTGCCAGCTTGGGGAGCTGAAGAGGTGAACGTAGATTCCTTGTGGGCTTCATTATTCTATTTAGTTTCTCTTTGTCTAAGCAATGCCAAGCAGTTTTATTTTGCTTATAAGTCTCAAAAGAGGCCTAATAATTAAATAAATGGACTGGAAAAGCACATGGTCGTGTAAACACTGCATGTTCCTGAGAGGCAAAACCACTTGTTCCTCCTAGCCATATTGAGTTGAGCTTGTGATCAATGAAGCTGGAAATCTTTAGCATTGTGCACTCTCCACTTGGAAGAATATGCCAGTGTCATATCCATTACATCTTTCATACTAGATGTAGTATGAAAGTAGTTTTTCCTTTTCTACAGGAAAAAATTGTACCTTAGAGTTACAGCTATGAGCCCTTGTGAGAAGTCCCTCTCTAGCTTTCTTGTAGGCTCCCTTCAGGTACTGGAAGGCTGCTATAGGGTTGCTCAAAGAAACTTGACCATGAAGACCCCTCATGATGAGGCATCCACAACTTCTTTGGGCTACCTGTTCCAGTGTCTTGCTACCCTCATCATAATAAAATTTTCTTCCTTATGTCCATTCTAAACCCACCCTCTTTCAGCCTAAAACCATGTTCCTTTGCCCTTTCACTACAGGCCCTGGTAAAAAGGCTCTCTGTCTTTCTTAACAAGCATTATTTGTTCTATGGAAGCTTTCTTGGGAAAGAAACTTTTTCCTACTTATGGCTAGAATTCTGCGTTGACAGGTATTCAGCATGAAGAAGCAAAAGAAACAGAGGTTACTGTCTCACTGCAAAGTCACTGTGCAAGCAGCAGAAGCTTCTTTACACTGTTGTGCCTCCTCCCATCCTCATAGAATTTTGCAATTAGTTTGCTTTCCTATCTCGTTCCACGGTTCTTCAGGTCAACCTGGTGGTATTGTGACCATTAGGTTGGATATTAGGAAGAAATTCTTTCCAGAGAGGGTGATCAGCCATGGGAATGGGCTGCCCAGGGAAGTGGTGGATTCTCCATCCCTGGAGGTTTTTAAGGTGAGACTGGATGTGGCATCAGTGCCATGGGCTGGGAACCACGGCGGGGTTGGATCAAGGGTTGGACTTGATGATCTCAGAGGTCCTTTCCAACCCAGCTGATTCTATGATTCTATGATCCTGACTGGTTGACAAAAGCTGCCAGATAGGCAGTGAGTTTCAGCTTCTTGCTAACAGGGCAGGGAGGACTGTGACTTTCCTCTAGGTGGGTCTTGTACATTAAAATTAACCTGTAACTAAAACAACAGCTGTAGTAACTGGAAAAAAACTTTTCGTCACTGGTCCCCTGTAAATATTGGCTACATTTTTGTGCTGCCATTTGACTTGTCCTGTCCTCCTTGTTTGAAGGAAGCAGTTACCAGCATCCCTTGGAAGCATAAGTGATACTGAGTACTGAGCATAAGTGGTACATACCATGAGTTCTGAATATGGGCCTGCAGTTATTTGAAGTTAGGTCAGGAGCCCCGTTTTGTGTTCTGAGTTATCTATGGAGGAAATCTCAATACGAAAAAAATAATGCTAGACATTTAATTGTTGAAGCTGTTGCTGCTGCCTGCTTGGCCTGCTGCACAAGATAATTTTCTTTTTGTTTTGTTTTGTCCGATGGTCTTCGGGTTGTTGTGTACAAGTTTCCATGCCAGCAGGGATTGTTTCTGTGTAAGCAACGTGCTGATATGCAGCTGAAGACTGTGGCTTATGAATGGTTCAGCTACCTCATGTGGAAATTGCACTTGTCATCACGTGCAGCATGTCACAGGAACTCCTGATCCCTCCAGCACTGAGAGGAAAAAAAGCAGAGTTTGCTGAGGCTTGCCTGCATTCCCAGGCATATCACACAGGTGAGAGGTGTCTTCTCTGCAGACCTGCAGCAAGTTGCTTGTGCACTCCATTCCTCTGTCAAACACAGATGGTCTTTGTGTTGTAGCCTTACAAAGGGCATTGTGTGCAGCTCATTAGCATCTTCTAGCCCAAAATAACCGGATTCTTGTCCTACAAATAATACCACTGAAGAATAGCAAAGTATGGGAAGAGGTTACTCAGTAAAGTTGTGGCGTTTCTGTTCTTGATGCTTTTAAGGGCATGTTAAGCAAAGATCTATCAGTCATGAATTGGAAGTAAGTGAATATATTATGGCTAACACAGTGAGATCTGACGTTGCTGCCTGTTATGCATATTTACATTGCTTTGTTATTTATCAAGAAAGGTATTTCACAAAGAACAAAATGAGACCTTTACTCTGAAAAGTCCAGGGTACAGTTTACCTGGAAATACAAGGAAGCCCAAGTTATGTGGCAGAAAGAGTGTTGAAAGATAGGTCCAGCATAAGGAGTGCCATTTTGCTCTCAGTATATTTTAAAGGGAAAATTTGACAATGGTATTTTCATTATAGCTGGTGTATGAGAAGCATAGGGAGATGATGAGAACTCTGTGAGAGAGAACAGTGGTGAAAGTTGTGATGCTGTACCGATGCTGCGTGGATCTTGTGTTGTCCTCCAATGACAGGAAACATAAGCTTGTGTTAAGCAGCTTGAAAGGATTGTTTTTACCTTTCAACTTTTTATGATGTCATTTTTCAGGAAGGAAAACTACTTTTCTAAAAAATGTGTTTTTCTTTCTGGCATAGTGTGTAGAGGAAGGATGGATGTTTAGAGTTTTTTTGCATTTAAAACAAGATTTTGTCAGATCTCACTCCTCAGGATTTTCTGCTGACTTACATCCTCTTTTTTCTCCCATTCATCACTTTATGCTCCTACTCCCAT